CAAAAATAATTTAATTACTTTAAGGGTGGGTGGTGGCTAATTTTAAATTTAACATCTAATGTAAGCCTTAATAATTTTTATCAATAATTGAGAATGTGTTTATATCATTTGAAATTAGAATTTATTCATGAAAAATAAGAAAAAGCTAATGGGTTTACCGGAAATTGTTTAAATAGGTGAAAATTCCAGTGAATAGGCAAAACTAGTCAGTAATACATAGCCGCAATTTTATTCACGCCGGAACAGCCGCCGATTGAGATCAGCGGCGTGAGCCGGCTAGCCGCCGATTTTTTTTATGGCGGCGGCGCGGCGTGTATAATATTTAGAATGTTGTTTAATTATATTTATATATTAAATTATTATTATTTAAATTTGAATATTAACATTAATATAATAAAACATGAATTGTATTCTATTGCTTTATATAATAGAATAGTGTATATCATTTACATTCATTCATACACCATATTAATTTCGGCTATATTCATTATTTTTATGGATTTGCGCGTTTTAAACCACCCTATATACAATTATGAAATAACAACTCTCTCTGTTAATCAAAAATCAAGTTATGTGTGGAAGTACTTTGGAAATCTTATTTTGAAGAATGAGAATAAGAAAAGCACGATAATGCCTGATTATATTTATTGTGAACCTTGTTTAAAATTGGGGAAAAAAGATGAGGAAGATTCGGATAAAAATAATCCATTTTCACAGTAATTTATTTTAATTTTAGACTTATATTTATATATAATTTATATTTTAGTTATGATATCAAATGTTATAGCAAAAATATAAGTACGAGTAACCTTTCTCGTCACTTAATTAATGTGCATAAAATATCAGAAAAAACTAATAATAATAAATCCATTCAAACTCTAAAAATGTTTCTAAAGCCAACGCCAACATGTAGCAAGAATATAAAAGATAAAAAATGGCTCTTAGGTTAGTATTAATGTTTATTAATATTCATTTTAAATTTTTAACTGGTTTGTTAAATTAATTTTATTAAGCTCTATTTGTTCAAAACAACTAAATTTTTTAGTTTGTTTTGTCAGCTCTTATTTTGAGAACTTTTTCATGTATGTTTTAAACCTGATTCATGCTGGTCCAAAATTCTGTTCCATTACTTTTGATTTATGGACATCATTTCAAGCGGCGAAATTATATTACATTTAGTCTTCATCATTTAGATGAAAATTTTGATTTAAAATATTTTACCCTGGCAACCCGAAATGTGACTCAAAAGCATACTGGGGAAACCATATTATCGGAGATTGATGGTATCGAAGAGGAGTTTCATTTAAAAGCCAAAATAATACAAATGGTAACTGATGCAGGGGCAAATGTCAAAAGAAGCGTCAGATTGGGGGATTATGAGCATCATTTATGCTTAGGCCATGGACTACATAATTTGGTTACAGTTGATGGCATAAAAAAAGTTGCCAGAATTGATAATCTCCTTAAAAATATTAGAGAAATTATTTCAGCCCTCAGATATCGAGTAGCTGATTTGGAATGTGAAATTGAAGATGAGCATCGTAAATGTCTCCAGTCAATTTATGAGACAGGTCATATCTTGGATATTGATGATTCTGATCCATACCTTGATGACCATTTTGATAACGAAGCGGATAATAGAAATGTCATTACACCAACCAATCTATATAATACAAAAACGTTAAAATTAAATTGCCCTACCCGCTGGCACAGCATATTAATTATGCTAGAAAGTGTTCGTAGCGTGAACAAAAATCCTATTAATAATGTTTTGAATAAAATAGGAAAACAATGTTTAAAACTTTTTAATAATGAATGGGATATGATTGACGAGCTTTATGCCGTATTAATTCCATTCCGAGAGTCGGTGGAATTTCTTTCCTTCCAAAAGGGATCGACTATAAATCTAGGGTTATTATTTCGCAGTGAAATAGAAACCCACATACAGATCAATATATCTGATTCCTCAGATATTATTTGTTTAAAAGAAAATATGCAAAAAAAGCTTGACCATAGGTTTCCCATTACTGTCAAGTTATTATATATTTTTATTAATAAAATTATATTTTGAACATTAGATCGACTCTCCTTGATCCCAGATTTCAAATCTGAAAATTGTGTCAGAATATTTAAATTCAAATTCTACTACATCATTGCAATTTTTAACAAGACATCTTTTAGAAAATGATATGCACAAAGTGAAATCCAAGTTGAAGATAATGGGGAGACTTCCAGTTCTTATATCGCCAAAATAGCTCGTAAACATCCCATTCCAGGCAGTGATTATAACAATATAAGTAATTTAGAACAAGAATGCCATATTTTGCTAAGCCAAAATAATATCCCAGAAGAGGATGCATTAACCTTTAGAAGAAAAAGCAACTGGAACTTCCTAGGCTTGCTAATTTAGCTAGGGAGGTTCTTTGTATACCTGCAACCAGTACACCCAGCGATAGAATTTTTTCCATTGCTGGATTAATACTCATTGCAAAAAGAACTTCTTTATGTCCCACCAATCTTGATAAAATTCTATTTATTCATGATAATTATAATTTAGCTAAATCTGAATTCTGATTTATTATATTACTTACTTAATATTTTGTTTGCATACCAAATATATATTTGTTATAATAAAAATCAATAGAATATTACTAATATGTGTTGTTTATGTGACTCTGATCTGAGTGAAAATGCAATTCCTTAGTCTATTTTTGAGAATGAGAAAATACATGAATTTAAATTGAAGTGAGACAGGAAATAATTTAAGAAATAAACTATGTTAACAATGTGTTAGAAAAGAGCGCCAAATTATAAAAAAATGTAATACATTGATTTATAAATTAAATTTATTTAAAATTTTTTTTAAAATATATATCGCGCCGCCGCCGACAATTTAGTAGGTGGCGGCGATATCGGTGCGCCGCCGAACGCCGATAAAAAATTTTAAAAAAACCGCCGCCGTCAATTAGACATCGGCCCACAGGTCTAGTAATACATAAAAGCATGGTGAGAAATGTAGAGTAGGTTATGAAAAGAAGAAGTAAGATTGAGAAGAAAAAGAAAAGTAGACAAGGAGAAGAGGAGATAAAAAGATATAGTAAAATAACCTGTTTTAGGAGAAGTTTATGGGAGATTTAAATAATTTGATTTGATTTTAAGCAGTTTCTTTATTGATCTCTTATTCTTATTTAGCCTTAGAAATTGTTTAGTGTTTAAGTTCATATCCATGATGTCTTTCATTGCCCTATAATACAATAATCTTTTAAACTTTCCATAGGATTTGCCGTTGAAGAAGTATAGCCAATTTATGGCATCAAGGACTAGGCTGTTATTGCTATGATTCCTCAGAATATAGGCGAAGAAGGTTATACGCTTTTTCTTTAGAGTTGCATGTACCGGAGTATGTTTAGGCCTTCTCCAAAGGTTGTCGTTCGAAATGATGTTGGGGTAAAAGACGCCTTCTTAAGCATTTATTAACAAACGTTTGAAATCTCTTTGTCTCCGTCTTAGTTATCTCCCATGTATCACCCCCGTAGAGGAGGATTAGAATGATAGAAGAGTTGAAAATTCTTAGCCTAGTGAACACCGATATCTCCCTAGTCCATAGCTTAAAATATTTGTAAAAAGCAGCTCTAGCATTCTGAATTCGGAATCTCAGTTCATCTTTACAACTGCCTTTATTGTCGATGTTCACTTCAAGATATTTATAGAAAGACACTACTTTGACAACTTTTCCTCCAAAACCAATCTCCCAGAGGGGGAGCATGAGACGATGGCATGATTACAGTCTTATCAAAGTTAATATCTAATCCAACCTTAAGGCTAAAAGTGTTTAGTATCAAGACCAAATTGTTAGCCTCCTCCAAGTTTTTTGCAATCAAGACCAAGTCATCAGCAAACTAATCGCCCTGTTTTCCAAAAACCACGGCTGATTAGATCCAAGTTCTAGAAGATTGGCTGCCCCTAATGTATCAGTAATTACATTATTCATTACTATATTGAACAGTAGTGGAAAGGCGACACAGCCTTGCTTAACTCCTATTTTTGTTCTGAAATGAAGTGAAACTTTATTTAAGATTTTAAATGAAGCCATGAGATTACTATAATGCATCCCTAAAATCTTGATAATATTGGCTTCTATACCACATCTCGCTAGAATAGCCCACAAGGTATCATGAGTGATGCTGTCGAAAGCGCGTTTGAAATCAATGAATATAAAATAAAAAGGTAATTTATATATTTCACACTTTTGTACAATTATCTTCAGCGCCAAGATTGGTTCGTTTATATTTCTGTTTGGGCGATATGCACAAATGTATTTGGATAATAGGTTAGGGGAGGATGCTAGGATTCGGTTTTTTAAAAGGATCATAAAGACTTTTGATACTATGGAGGTAAGGGCAATTGCTCTATAATCTTAGAATTTAGTAGGGTTAGGAATTTTAGGGAAATTGTAAAAGATAGTTAGGTTCCAATCTCCAGGCATTTTCCCTGTATGCCAAATCTTATTAAACAACCCCAGCAAAAGCTGGGAGACCTCTGAAGGGGCAGCTTTTAGATGTTCTCCCAATATGTTGTCGTGACCTGGGGATTTTATGTTCCTTAGCCTATTAATGGTTTTAGTTATTTCTGCCACAATGGGAGATCTGTACATCTGGGTCTGTAATCAGGAAGTTATTGTCTAGTTTGATAGACGGGAGAGGTTTAAACACTTTAGCGCTACAGAAGTGTTTAAGCTTTTTACAAACATCAAAGGTCCTGTTGTCCTTCATGTCTCTATCGATCTCAAATGCTTTTTTTGCAATGTAGATCCTTCTATCTTTCCTAATAAGCCTATGAATCGTAGTCCAAAGGTTACCATCCCGTCTTTCACTTGACTTTAGTTCCGCTATTATCAGAATGGTGTCTTCGGATAGCCACTCATGTCTCTGGAAGGACCTGTTAATGCTTGGGAGATCGTTGCAAGCTCCAAATAAAATATTTTTAAAGGACAACCAACATTATTCCATGGATTCTGATTCCGATGAACCATGATTTAACGCCATCCTAGCTCTTAAGTTTTGAACTAAAAGGAGCTTAACTTCTGAACACTGTAGATTCCTTGCTTTTATTATCCAGGGGGGTGGACTAGGTTGATTTGAGATGGCTAGTCGTCTAGAGTTGCCCCATAAATTTCTTATGGTGATACTTCCTCTGACTAGCTTATGATCAGAAATATTAATGTTTAGCAAGGCCCTAACATCGGTAAACCAGCCATGAATGTTGGAAATAAAGAAATCGATTTGAGAGGTGATATTATTTCTCCTATAGGTTAATGTGTTTCTTTCACTATGGAGAAAAAAGGTGTTTTCAATTTTAAGGTTTAGGCTCTTACACAGATCCAAAAGCTTCCTGCTATCCTCACCATTTGGCTGTGGGATGGCCGCATTTCCAATTACTCCAACAGTTATAAAGGACTCCTCCTTCCCAATTTTGATATTTAAATCGCCCAAGATTATCAGATTGCGGCTCCTAGGGAGTGAGCATACAATGTTTTCAAGATCGTCTAGAAAGGAGAGTCTATCCCTTCTGTGAGGAGGGGCATAGACATTGATTAGGATCGTTCGTTTAAACCAGGTGTTTAGATACAGCAAACCACATCTTTCCGAAATGGGTACAAATTTATCTACAAATTTATCTACAAATTTGTGTACTCTCTTACTAATCAAAAAGGCGATCCCTGACCAGCTATTTAAAGTAGTGCCCGAACTGTATATGAAATTACTAAAATTGGCCATATTATTATCCTTAGAGTGGGTTTCTAGTATCGCAATTATATCCATTTTCTCTTCCGCCATCAGTCTAAGAAGAATTGTTAGTTTGCTTTTTAAGCCATTTATATTAAGTGAAGTTAAAAGTAAATTTTCTTTAAACCAATTTGACGCTATCAATAATACATACAAAAATTTATACAAATAATCAAAGACGAAGGTAAAATTCCTATTAAACCTTTAACGCTATCAAAATGCGTACAAAAATATAAACCAAAGTAGTATATTGCTAAAAAGACTAACATACCGTTTACTTTAAGGTTTTACACAAATTAAATCATTTTAATTATAATCAATACGGTATAAATAAGTCTGCCAAACGAATTCATGATAGATATTATAGAGTATGTTAAAAAAAGCTAATTAAGCTTATTAAACGAAAGTTATTAATCTATATTTAAATCAAGGTTTCATTTAAACTTATGAATGTATAAACATGCTGAAATGACTCAACTAGAGATCTATAAATTAATAAGGGAGCTGTGTTTGAATTATCCTTGTCCTATAAATTTTTGTTAGCTGAAGATTAATATAAATTTTTTTTTATTTATTCTAAATATTTCATATAGATTAGTTTTTAATAAAACGCAACTGGGAATAATTAATCAATTAAAGATATATTAAATAAATTGAAAAATAAAAAGCAGAATAAAATAAAACAGAAAAATAAAATTGAGGGTCAACACTGCCGGTTAGAAGTGTATATGAAAAATATAAGAGGATAAAAGAAAATTTTCAAAGGTATTAATATTACTATAATAAAGTATACCTCCATATCTGTATATTAGTTTGAAACCAAGAAGTTAAAAATTTACGTAAAAAGGAAAAATTTTGGAAACTACAGCTAACACAATAATTTAGATTGAGATAATGAAAAACGTTCAAGCTATCACCTATTTGAATTAATAGTATAAGGAAATGGATTTGCTAAAGTATAAAAATAAAATGAGAAATAACGACAACTTCTATTCAATCAAGGCCGGATTTATATAAAAAATCTATGGAAAAACTAATATAAATTATATTAAGTTCAAAGATTCAGGGTACAATTATATGAAATTCATAGAATAAGTATCCCAAATGTGATATTCCTGTAATATCAGATCTTAAATTTAAATAAAAAAACTCAAATGATTTAAGTTGAAAAATAAAATATTACTGGGAGAAACACATTGCCGCTAACATATATAAATCATTGGCCTTAAATTATAAAAACCATTGAATCTTATAGCTACTGAAGCCTATTTTGCTCAAAGAATATATCATAAAAATAATCTTATCGTTTAATTTATTCGAAACTGAATTAAAAAAATTATATCTATTTTTTTTTTCTAAATTTTGGCTTAAAAATATTACTACTTTTGTATAAATAATTAATTTGCAATATGATTAGAAATTTAACTAATTCTATAAAATTATAATATTTTTGGCACAAACGTGTTATATAAAATGTAGTAACGTTTGCTCCGCGTAGTCCTGCTTTTAACAATTAATCTTTAAAAATTCCGCAAAAAGAATGGCAAGTCTAGTGCCACATATAATTATAATATATGTCAAAATATTGTTATTTGGCGTTTTTATTATTCTGAAGCTACTAACCTTGAATGTGCGCAATGGTGTTATGGTATATTGTAGATCAGAAAATGAACGTGGGAATTTACCTCTTAATATATATATATATTATATAAATCTTTAAATATTTTTAAAACAACTGATCCTTGTATAGAAAATTTGGTTATTGTTTAGAAAATTGCAATATGTGACCTGGCAGTAACTAACAAACCATTTAATTATATAATATATTAATGGGTATTTTTTTATGAAATTGTTTCGGGGAGTTCTCTCGAAAACGAAAAAATATTATCTCTTCAACAATGCTGTCAATAAATCATAAATTATCAAATATTAGCGAAATTAACCTGGTCTGACCTGAACAGTTGCTAGTGCTTGGCAGATAAATTTAATATCGTTACCCCCTCCCTCCCTTCGGTCCTTATTGAGTTCAATCAAATCATAGGCGTAGCCAGGATTTTTAAAGGGGGGGGATTAAAAAGTTACTGGGGCTTCGGCCCCAGACCAGGGTTGCCAGGTCAAAATTTTCAAATTGCGGGAGAAATTTGTTATTATGCGGGAGAAATATGAAAATTGCGGTAGAAATATAAAAAGTGCTAAAAAAAATTCGGCCTTCCGGGATTTTGAATTGCTTAATTATCCGCCTATTATTTTTTATAATTAGTTTCATAGTCGGCAACTATTTTTCAAAATAAAATAACATCTTGATTTATTAAAATATATTAATTTATAAAAAAAACCTACGATCTTAATATATAAGAATGTAAACAAGATAAAATTTTATAAAAAAAACTATTTTAATTTTACAATTAAAAATATATTTTATGTGAATGTTCCGCAAAACGACCGCTTGGAAATCTACCGTGTGTGTGTATAACATTATAGGGATAGCGCTTAATTATCACGTATCACGTTTAAATACATAATTAGGTATTCCAAAAATAAGAAATAATACATATGTAACTAGAGTTGCGGCAATTTTAGTACAACATTCACAGAGATTATCAACACAATGTTAGTAGAATCTTTTTCCCATAATATTTAACGACTATAATATAAATGAAAACTATACTTGTAGAACAAAAATGAGCAAGTATCATCAGTGTTTTAGGACCTAAATCCATGAGGTCACTTCTTGACGATTTGAAAGATGGGCATACATATGCAATTCTAACAGATGCATCTTTAATATTTCCCTTGATCCTCCGCTATTTCAACAAAATTAAGGTCGTTTCAGTAAAACTATTAAATTTTTTACCCTCAAATAGTGAAAAATCCAAAGACATAGCTAACCATATAATGGTAAATATAGCAGATTCGAGATAATCAATAAATTGCATGTCAGCTTTCTGATCTGATAATGCCTCAGTGAATTTGGTAAAAACAGAGTGTATTTACAGAATTGAGTCAGCACAATGTTGGTTGCGATATGTTACTAATACCCGCCATCGATAGAATTTTGAAATTTTATAAGCCTTAAAAAAAATATTTCTTAAATAAAGATTATAAAAGCTGTCCTAACATTTTGAAAATTTTTTTCAATAATGAATGGCAGAGGTATAATTAGGAGTGATTTCACATGTAAGAAATCTATTACATGCGGTTAATGTGTAGTTGCAATCAGAATAATCTTAAAGATTCACAAAATTATGATGCAGATAGATGTGTTCATCTTTACAGTTAAAAATTGACAATAAATTTTATGGTGCCATTGCTAAAACTTAATTATATTTTATTTGAGATTTAAATAATGGAACTAAATGTTCACCGTTGTTATTGAGATATTTATAAAATTCCTGGCATGACATATTATATATTTGTTTAACCATTAGCTCGACCTCTAATGTTATTAAAGCAATTCGATTTCTCTTCTTTTTCCAGGCAGTCCTTCAGGCTTAAGATGCGCATGGATGAGGCATTAGAATGAGGTAAGGAGACATACTCGCATTTTTTCCAAGTATGGGGATTTATCGTTATTACGAAAAAATTCTACCCATTTCTCTCTGCTTTTAGATCATCTAACTTTAAGTATTTTGGCGAATCATAAAAAATAAAGAGAATTACAATCTCCTCAAACAAGGCATCAATGTCTTTCGGTATTTTTAATATATTTATTAAATTATAAAAACCATCAATTGATGGTTTCTATTCCAAGGTCATAATATTAATACATTTGTAAATAGAGTTATTAAAATTAAATTTTGATTGTAAATATTCTAAAATTGTCTTAATAAAAATATTTGCTTCATTTAAAATGTATTAATTAGAGTATTATTTGAACATTTTAATATAATATTTTTAGCAATAGCGCCATAAAATTTATTATCAATTTTTAACTGTAGAGATGAACAGAGCTGTAGCATGATTTGTGAATCTTGTTTAATAAAGAATATTATGATTGGAACTCATGAAATAGATTTCCTAGATGTGAAACGAATCCCAAAAATGCTTCTGCCATTTGATACTCGAAAAAATTTTTCAAAATTTTAGGACAGCTTTTAAAATCTTTATTTAAAAAGTATTTTCTTAAGTGATGGTAAAATTCATAATTCCTATCGATGGCAGGTATTAATAACAACCACCTGATAGGTATTTATCACAACAACTCACACCATTCCAAGTCAGACCACTTCACCAACTCTTTTAATTCAGGCTTGCATAATATTTATCTGATTAAAATATTGAGTTAGCCGTTTTTAAAAATAAGCTCAAATCAATCAAGCGCTTTAAGAAGATTATTGTCGAAATATTACCATTTTAATAATTTTTTTTTGTTTTTATAAGGATTAGATATTAATAACTCAGAATCACTCTTTTACGGCATTTAGAAACATTTTAATCGTAATAAAACCCAATTTAGTCGATTGATATATATTTTCAGGTTCATCTGTATTGACAATTAGTGCGAATTAGCGACGAAGTATACCAAAATACAGCATATTTTATATACTTCTCAGTAAATTGGAAATTTTGGGCAGTATTATCAGGTCCTGCTTATTTTTTATTATGCAGATATTATTTCTTATTTAAAATATTATTTAGATTTTTATATATGTCAAAAAAATTGATAAAGGAAATTTCAATTTTTGCAACAATTAATTTTATAAAAATATTTTTGGGAATTTCTCAAACAGGTTTTTATTAATTTAAGGATATATAAGTTGAAAAACAATTAAATAAATAATTATTATATATTTGTTTTCGCAGGAGATGTATTATAGTGATTTATATTAGTGAGTGCCATGTATTGATATATTGACATTATTTTGTTATTATTGTTTTAATGTAAAAGTGTAAAAAGAAAATAAATAGAAAAATATTATTATAATTATGATAGTTTTGATATAAATTTGAAATAAAAAATACGGTTGTTAAAATTGTTAGTATATTGGTTTTCTGCAAGTGGAGCCCTAATAAATTCCACAATTCATAAAACTTCACAATAAAAATATTTT